AACCCCCCCCCCCCCCCCCGGATGGCGAACGCTAGAGCTTGCCCTGTCACTGAACCCACCGCACGCCACTGGATTCCGCTAATGTAATTTGAATCAAAAGGAGGATAAAGAATCAACTTACGTGATTCGGATCCAATCAGCACAATTAGGACTTGCTAGGAGTGTTTCCAAGTCATCTCGGCCTTTGAACATGGGTGGTCTTTGGTTGATCTGATGAGGTGGATTTTCTAACAACCCATAGGGAATGTACCGGTGAAAAAATGATAGCCACTCAAGAAGAAATTTCCTTGTATTTTCTACTCCCTGCAATAAATCAAAACCCACTGGTTGAGAGAGACATAAGAAAGAAATGATGATGAGGGAAAAAACACAAGTTTTGAAGAGAGAAAATGGAAACATGGCACACTCAAACTGCAATCCATCGCTTTCCCTTCCAAAAACTGAGTTATACAAATATTCATAATAATAGCTTTTGGTCCTCATTATTTAGCACTATCCTTCAGCACACATTTCTGGTCTCATCCAAAATAGTAAAAGGCAGTTTTCAACAATGAAAACTTCAATGTTATTGAAACAATCTCCCTCTGTTGAAAGTTACTCTAATTTGTCAGACAGTGGCGTAACGGACTTCCGCTGGGCCCCCCCGCAAAAATTTTTCTAGCCCCCCCCCCATGTCGATAAAATTCCAAAATTATTCCCCCCCCTCCCGCCCCTTCCCATTTTTTTGCCCGAGACATCTCAAATCACGGACTTGGAATGCCTCATCCCTCACCGTCCCGGATCCCTTACCCGATTAGATGGGCCCCTAAAGGATCAAGGATCTAAAGGGTGGCAGGCCGCAGGGGCCCAGCCTAGGCCCAAGGATCTACAGAGGGGCGTAGGCCCAAGAATTAAAGGGCCCCCAAGAGCCTTGGGGCCCTTTAGGTTCTTGGATCTCCCAAAGCCCGAATTACGAAAAGTGACCAAAAAAGAAAAAATGTTTAGTAATCACTGAGTGGACATTGGAAGGCAGGGGCCCTCCAGCAAACAAAAAGTTAGGAACAGTCCGAAAGAAGTATAAAATACCCCGTGCTAACAATAAAAATCAGAGGAAGAAGCCCCATCTCGGTAAGTAAAGGCCCAAAGTTTGAAACCAAAGCTAAGCATCAAAAAGAGAGAGAGAGAAAAAAAAAATTCCGGCGGCCGAGGGCCCCCTAGGCGCCTGGGCCCCCCTGCATAGCAGGGTCTGCGGGGGCGCCCGTTACGCCACTGTCGTCAGAAGCATCCATGTTTATAATTCGTTCCTGGAAAAAGCGGAGTGAACAAAGCTTCCAGGAGTTTTTTAAACGTTTTTAACCCTAAATGGTAAAAAAACTATACTGCAACCTTGCAAAAATTCCTTGCCAATGCCCTATTCAGATTCACGATGACTTCCACATGTAAGAATTATAAGCAAGAAAATCATTCCAACAAATTTTTGCAAAATCCCAAGAAAAATTTTTAGGAAATGCTGGTTCAAATTTCCATGGTAAATTTATACACTAATATGTTGAATCAATATTCAAAGAGAGCAGAGAAGAGTTGAATTACACCTCTGGTGCACACATAAGATGGCATTCTTTTGAGAATTAAACCTGCACAGTTACTATCATTTGTTATTGAATTATCAAACCTGTGTATCAGAACCCCAGTGCTCCAGGCCATAGTTTGAATATTTCTTGATGATATCAAATCTTTCAGAACTGGATATATCCCAGTCTCTCTGTTCTTTGATTTCGGTGAATATCCAAGGCTTTATTAATGCACCACGTCCTATCATGGTTCCAGCAATACTTGGGCATATTTCCTGAAAAAGAACAAAAACGAAATGAAAAAAGGAGAAAAAAAAGAAGTGATAGTTCAACATATTTTACAGAGGATGGAGAAGAAGAAAAAAAGAGCATTCATGAAAGGAAAAGATATAGAAGGAACCAAGTATACTTGTATGTGAGAAGAATTAAGATATTGGTTCCCAGTACATATTTTCCTTGATACCATGAGTCACAACTAAATGACATGCAATGACTCTACACTTTGAATATAAAAAACTATATAAATATAAAAATATCTCATCAGATGAATCCAGATGGAAAAAAGAAAACATATTTGAAACTCAGGAACAAAAATGTAATCTGAACACAAAAATAATAAGCTGCCATTAGGCAAACTAGATTTCTATGAATAAGTGATAGAAATATTTAAATTCCATAAAGATATATGGAAATATTTAAATTCCATAAAGATATATAGAAATATTTAAATTCCATAAAGATATAAAGAAATATTTAAATTCCATAAAGCTATATTTTTAAGAGGAGGGGAGATTCAGAAATTTGTAGTTACAACCTAGCAGAGAATAATATATCATTACAGCAGCAAAAAATAACATGGCAGGATTATCTGAAGCATCTGAAAACTATGGTAAAATTTGAAAATTAGATAAATTCGAAAAAAGCAAATTTAAAAAATTGCACAGAATAGCAAACTCCTATTGAGAATTTTATTCAAATTAGCTAAATAAAATATATGTCAAGAGCAACTGTGAATGTATTTCCGAGAATGGAACTTACTGCCATTTTACATTTCTGGGTTTACAATGCGCTGCCATTGTTACTTACCCGTGCAGTATTGTAGTCTGAAAAAGATAAAATGTCTCCATTCCCAAAAAGTGGTACTGGTTTGCAGAGTTGGGCACATTTTTCAATGTAACCCCAATCAGCACTCCTAGTGTATCTCTGCTCCCTTGTTCGACCATGGAGCTGAAAAAATTAAAAGGAGCAACATATAGAGAGACATTGACATGGTAAAGTTTTGACATTTTTTTCCCCTTTCGATTGACAATGAATGCCCCTTGACTAAAGGGGCCATTCAAGTATTCCGCAAACTACTTCACGGAAGGAAGGAAGTCTGAGCTTATGAGCGGGTGAGGAGGGGGACCAAGGAGAGTCTTAAAGAGGCCTAATTGTTCTATTAATTAACGTTATATTATAACAATTATATTATATAATATAATTTGTCCTAAAAGTTCTTAGTTGCAAAAAGTTGTCCAATTAAACGGCAAAAAGGTGACTTACTGTAATAAGCGAAACTCCCCAGTCACGAAACTTCGGAACTAGCTGATCAGCAATTTTCTTATCCTTGTGGATTCCAGTTCTGACTTTCACTGTCAACGGAATATCCAATACTTGATTCATAGAAACAACCACTGACTTAAGAATTTTCTCTTGTCGGAGAAGCCCACTTCCGGCACCCTGGGACAAAAATATTTTATTACACTGAGGAATATTAATTCGTGTGCATTCATTTAAAATCTGTTTTTATGACAGGCTTGAGTTTAGATCAACAATGGAAATGGGTCAGTTACATTAGTCACAGAATCAAGTTCTGATGGTTTACGCTTATAGATAAGCAAAAAGTGATTGGAACTGTTAAAACAGCAATTTTCTAAGTTCAATATTAACAGTGCCATCACTCATTGAAAGACACGGTGTATGACTTTCTAATTTTAGTTCTTTCAGGTCTCTAATTTTTAGCAATTCTGTTCTCAATTCAATGGGATGAATACTGTCAAATGAAATTAGAAAACTCTTAAAGTAAGGAGAAATAAAAATCCCAAAACCACAGTGCTTTCATTTTGAACAACTCTCATACACTGTTCAGTTTCATGGATGACTAGAAAGACATCCGAGGATACACTGCATGGTGACTGTGGACATTCCCAAAATCTTCTGCTTTTACAAGGGGACAAGAAGTAAAGATAAACGTAAAGTTGGATGACACTAACTCAGATTTCAATGAACGATAGAACATGCCTGGTTTTTTATCTGACAATATTTGTTCCATTATTTCATTTGTACAATAAAGTGTGGTGTCTTTCTCATTGAGGCATGATACTGTTATAACAGAGAAATGCCAATTTCATGACTAGCAATGCCACTTGGCTTGCATTACTCTGATACCAGAGAGTGCGATCAAACCTTTTTGTAACATCCATTTTGACAGTTTAGGATGGATGTCAACTCTTGAAGCAAGTGAGTGTAGATCTTACTGGCCATTCTAAGTTAAAAGTTAGAGAGATTAACCAACCTTCTGAAAAATGAGATCAATAGGACAGCCGAGATTGATGTCTACAAAGTCTATGTTTGCATTCTCTTGCAAAACCTGGGCACACCTTGTCATTGTATTCATATTGCTCCCACAAATCTGAAAGATACGAACCACAATTGAAAAAGTCAGAAAATATAAGTTCGTATATTGGTCGTAAGTCCACTGAAAAAACATACAGAGTGTAAAAAATAGTCTTCGGAAGGATTTTGAAGTATCAAAAAAGACAAAAAGAAAAAAAGGACCTATGAAAAGAGGGAGGTGAAAGTTTCGAAAGATTTTCTATTCATTCAGTATTTGTGATTTTTGGTTAGCATTTCCACCTCCAAGATAAAAAAAGAAAAACATCAAAGAAAAACCTTCTAACATTTGAGAGTTTAATAATTTTGAATAATTTTTTGCACTCCTTATCAGAGGTGCAGAAAATGACCGATTCCGCAATCCTAAAGCGGCAAGCAAGAAACAAATCTTGTGTCATGAGACAATTGAAAAATGATGGTCTTTTCTTTTCTCATTCTCTCTTTCAGTATTTCATAAGTCAGGAAAATCGCACATTTTATCATAAAATTGGTCATTTTGATACAAAGGTGGACACTCAGCGATGAGGCAAATCAGAAAAATGACAATGAGGCAATATTGTCAGAATGCGGCAAACGTTTGGCATTACAGAATTTTCTGCACCGCCGCTCCCTAAAAAAGGATATTGTGTTATAAGAGATAATGAATTACTAACTTGAGCTCCAAATAAGTCTTCTGATTCATGTCGTTTAGCAAGAGCCCATTCCTGCTTGCGCCCTTGGAGCAAACTGGTTGCTAGGGCCATTTCGCCACAAGTGATATCAGCACCAAATTCTTTGCAAATCCGACGGAAAGGCAGATTCCCAACAGTAGTTAGAGGAGATAAGTATAGTTTATCAGTCCAATCAATCTGAAAAATTTGGCGGATCCATATGAGAGGATGCACAGCTGAATTTTACATAGGATCACATATCGGGACTCAGAAAAAAAATTTATTGATTTTATAAAGCATGCAGCCAAAAAAAAGTAGGCAGAAAAGAAAAAAAAAAGGATAGCAGTACTATTTTGGTAGCCTGTTTCCAAATGGTGTTGGGAGATAAACTAGGATTCTAATTTTGGCCGCTTATTGAATAATTGCACTTGTCTTTGATGTATGACATGATCAATGAGGTCTTTTCATACTGAGATTAATCAGTATGTTTATTGATAAATGGACATTTTGGAATAAGAGACTGCCATTGAAGAGGAAAAAGAACAGGATGAAGAGGAAGAAGAGACAAGAGGAGAGAAAGTAGAAAAAAGGCAGAGGAGGATGTTTAAGAAGAAGAGAAGAAGAGGAAGTAAAGACGAGTGAAAACTAGTAAAGAAGAGTAGAAAAAAGAAGAATGAAACAAAGAGGAACAAAGAGGAAGAAGAGAGAAAATCGAAGAAGCAGAGGAAAGAGGAGGACATCAAAGCGGACGAGAAGATAATTAAGAAGGAGCAGAGCTAGGAGAGGGAGAAGAGGGTGATGAGGATGAAGAGGTAGCATTTGTTTGCACAGGAACATAGGTGGTGAGTTGTTTTAAAATGAGGCTAAATTATTAGTTCCTCATTGCAAAATGAACTCAAAATAGTCTACCTGTACTTCTCCAATTCTATCCTGCTCTTAGTGGCCTTCATACTTAAGACATAAGCAGCTGATGAATTACAGTAAAATATGGTTTTTAATTTGCCAGCTTAGAAAAAATTGGGCTGCTGCATACATACCTTCTTTTTTTCAGCTGGTCTCAGTTTGATCAAATCTGTGTCACTAACAGGGCCTAACTGCTCTTTACTTCCCACACTGACATCAGCTTCCTGTTCTGATTGGGACATTGACTCTAAATTGCTCTCTGTGCTGATCATACATTTTTCACCATTATTTGTTTTCATTTCACAATTCTTTGTGGTTTCTACGTTCTTTTCTGATTCACTAGCCTTGCTTGGAAGGTCTATCTTGCCATCTTTTACAGCTGATATTATTCTTTCGCTCTTTTCAAAATTGTAGGTGCGCTTTTGAAGAGCCCGTTGAAGCTCTTTGGTAAAATTTTGGGTGGTGCTAGTTTTGGACTTGGCATTCCATTCCGCCTGAAGCGTTTCATTGATGATATTGAAGCCGTCTTCTGAAATGTGACTTTTTCCATACCTAAAAAATAAGGAACACAAAAATAGATATCAGATACTTTGAAGAAAAAAACAGAAAACAATTTGATACAAAGAAGCAGAAAGTTCCAAAATGCCAACTGTTTGTGGTAATGAGGAGTTTTTTCCTCACAGCCATATTTAAGATTTGCCTCATGGTAAAATGCCTATTTTATGGCAAAATGCCTGATTTTTAAAGTATAATGTCTAACTTGCCCTAATTTCCCAAAGTATTGACCTAAAACAGAAAGAAACAAAAGAAAAAGATCGTCATTTTTAAAAATTACCTCACAACTCAAGATTTGCCGGACGGTTTCAGCAACACTGATCGTTGGACATTTTCTGCACCCCTAATTCCTATCATCTTTCCGTGATACCTTGGAATTTAACATTTATTTTCTTAAAAACAGCTAAACAATATTTTAAAAAATTGTCCTTTAGCTGATTAATCAGCCAGGATATTTTTAGCCCATGTACTAATGCTATAAAAAATAATGGATATCCCTTGATGGTATTTTGAGGCAAAGATTTTCTCTGGTCTTTACAGACAATTCAGAAACAAAGATAAGTGAAAAAAGAAGCAGGTGAAAAGGCAGTCTTACCTGCAAGTGACGCCACGAGGGCAGTGACCTTTGAGATCAAATACATGGCATTGTGGCCCCAAGTCTGGTGGTTTGCAGCTTAAATAGCTCTGGACATCGTGAATAAATTTACAATTGTCATAATGACAAACTGGTGTAGGATCACCTTTCTTAACGTCAACTAGAATCGGACAGAGGGTGTTTTCTTTGCTTTGCTTAAATGTTGGGCCTCTTGACTTATTCTGGCCTGGAAAGAAATTAAGCATAAATTAAAACAGCGATAGAAAGCACTAAGTTTTGATCAAAATTTTGTGATTTGAGACCAAATTAAAGCTACATTTTTATTTGATACATTATAAAAGGCTACTTAGACCTGGAATTTCATCCTCATACTTAAAAATTTTTTATAAGGCATGAGGCATTAAGTGACCAAAATTTTAATATATGCACTTCCTTTTCCGCTTGATGAGTTTATAACCAGCTGACACATAAAACTTAAAAGACACAATGGTCATCTCAGCTATTTAAGAGCCTGCATAAAGTGCGAATGGAACAAAATGAAAATTAGACTCTAACTAAAGTTAAGATCTAGCTTTAGATTGTTGAATCTTTGTTAAAGCTTTGGTTTGTGAGAGTTTCCTTTCGTTTCATACACACCTGATGAAGGCTATTAAATAGTCAAAATAGACATCATGTTTCAAGTTTTATTTCACAACCAGTTACAAACATATCAGGCAAAAAAAGAAGTGCAGGGTTGGTACCTTGATATTCGATAAGGGAAGTCAAAACATATGGAAATTTTAATATGCTTGACCATTAAAATCAGTTGATAGTGGAACAGTTCTCATCAGCTAGATTTGATCCATTAGGTATCCAGACAGTTTTTCCAAACACAAATTCTTACCTTTAAACATTTTTTTCTTCTCGTTTTTGTGTTTCTTTCTGCTTGAATTATCTTCATCATCAGAGTTTATTTCTGCTAACTTTCTTTTGTCACTTGCAGACACGCAGTCAATGGCTAAACTCCGAACATGGTTCTCGACGACAAACCTACAGCACAATGCAAATACATTCTTCAGAAGGTGAAAATAAACTAGTTTGCTCAGTATGCATATTCATCGAAAATTCTTTGATCAATTGTCCGATTTTAATGACCTGCATGTATCTAACTCATGGGAAATGGCACTTTGGGGCTTGTGCATTTAACTGGACACCAACAATTTTTCAGTTCTAAATATTTATCAAAGTGTATATTCTCATAGAATTTACATGAATTATTCAGTGGCTTAATATTCTGTGAGAACCTCAAACAAAAACAAGATATTTTATATTTCTTTCCAGAAGCAAACAACCAAGAGAATTTTGAAACATTGTAATTAAGATCCTTGTTTTAAAAATTTCATCAACAATTTGTAAAAGTAACGTATAGTCAGGCGTCAGGGTATGGAAAACTTCAAGAGAAGAGGATCAAAGTCAGTACATTCCTCAACTCACAAGGACTTGATAGGTGTAATGTATGTACAGAAAGTTTTTTCATTGAAAATGCATGGTCAAACTTAATGTGCTAGGAAGTATGATTAGTTCACATTCAAACTCTCCATCCTCAGTCCTAGACTCCATGGCGAATTACAAAATCTATCAGCATGAGAGCTTTGATTAGCGACAACTCGTCGAGAAGAAAGAAAGATATGTTCATAACAATCAAGATGCCTCATTTACAGATAGCCCTCCAAGGTTGAAACGATTCTCAAGAAACAATGAGATCCTCATTATCTATAAGATTTCGAGTGACAAGAAATACATTTTAGGTTGTTACAGCACTTACTCAGGTTTGATTTTGGCAACTCCAGCAGAATCACCTCGGCACAAAGATTTCACCGAGTCACTTGTAGGAATAGCAGGAGACATAACAGCAGTCATGGTGACATCTGATGCAAGTGTAATTAAAATCAGAGTTTAGAATTAATTAGGGGGATAAAAGAGTGGAAATGCAAGGAAGGCTGAGGAAAAATAATAACGGAGTGAGATTGAGACAAGTACAAGTCCGCTCACATGTCTAAAGCACAAGAACCTAACCTCAATCCCGGAGGATTGTTGTTGTTGCCGACTGCCAACGATTTTCGCGCTTCGAACATCAATCATCGGATGTTTCAAATTTTTCCCTCCAAATCGCCAAAATAATCACATAAATGGGCTCTTTTTTGATTCATTTGACCACATTGGCGATCAGCTGATGATAAACAGTAATTTTCAGAACGATTTCCATAGAGAAAAAAGAAGACTGATCCATACATTTGTAAAATTTTGACTCGCGAATTCGTTTTTTTGCTTAATTTTCAGTAATGTCCGAGCTGAGTGGAACGGCATTTTTTAAGCTGCAACATTCCAAGTATCCTTCATATTTAAGATGTGTAATTGTATGATTTTTAATCAGTTTATCTCTGTTCAAACATCATCGCCAAGGAAGAGTCATTGAGGTTAATCAAGACTGCCTCAGGAATTAAGACTGAATCGGAAAATCAGCTGAATCGTTGAAGGGTAAGCATCTGTTTCACATTCATCACCACCTGCTGGATTTCCGCACCCATTCCAAGATCTAGTCATATGGATGGATTGAATTTTGAACGTGAATCATTCACCCTCGGTGCATCCTCTCTCTTACACTCTAGACTCCAGCTCTAGAGTCCTATTTCATCCTTGTTTCACTGCAACGACTGATTTCATCTAATCGAATAAAGCGCCTGCAAATTGAAAAGATGCAATTTGGATAGCATTTTGCAATTCGGAACTATAGGCAGAATGGTAGGTTTTCAGGAGAGCAACTTTTGCAAAAACCATTGGCGTTTTTCATCAAAACGATCAATGTTGCGGTTTGATGGTTCATTTTATAGCTATGGAGTTCCTTTAACACCCTGTGTTGACAGATTCGTCAAAAACATCACACTGTTGCCAATAATTACAAAAAAAGGATATAGTTCCTTATTGCAAAATGAAGAATCCGGGGAAGCTCATTTTGCAATTAGGAACTATAGATTGTTTTAGCACTGACTGCATAGGGGAGACGACCCTGGTGTCACTATTACAAACTGGAGGGTTAACCCCAACAGAGAAAACACCCCTTCCTTCCATCATACGAGGAAGGGGGGAGGTGCATTGTCCCTGCGGAAAGATATTCTACAAAAAACAGGGTGTGCCAAAAATATGGATACCTACCGACTTGCTAATATTTCGAGAATGGTGGCAAATATTAACATGCAATTTGGACGGGAGGGTTTATTATAGATTTGATTGACATGAATCGATCAAAAAATGAAAGCATGAATCGATCGACATCGACTCGATCGACAAATTATTGAAAAACCGGTGTTATGATTCCGACATGACCGACATGAATCGATTGAAAAGTTAGAACATGAACCGATTGACGTGATATTTGATCGGCACTGCTTCGATTGACGACCGTGAATCGATCAAAAACCAGCGAATCGATCCGCAAATCCGTAAATCGATTGATAACCCCGTGATTCGTTCGAAAAATCCGTGAATTGATCGATAAACCCTTGTATAGGTCAACAAACCCGTGAATCGTGAAATTTTGAAAATTCGAAAATCCAAGATTAAGGATGTGGCCTATAATGCTATCTCGGCTCCTGTTCGATCGATCATGCTGATTTTCGGGGTCAGGGGGTATTTATGGACGGGAAACTCGAATTTCTGGTCAAATTTTGAAAATTCAAAAATCCAAGATGGCGGATGTGGCCTAAAATGATATCTCGGCTCCCGTTCGATCGATCATGCTGATTTTTGGTATCCGGGGGTATTTTTGGACGGGAAACTCGAATTTTTGGTCAAATTTTGAAAATTTAAAAATCCAAGATGGCGGATGTGGCCGAAAATGACCTTACTTGAGTAAGTATCCCTTGGGGGATCTTTCATTCCTCGGACACACGTTTAAAGGGGAGCTCAGAAGACGCAACCTCAAACTTGTTTTTCGTGGATTGAAATGCGAAAAATATCGGAGAAAATTATTGTGGCTTATGCGTAGTAAATACTTCAAAAAACGCAAAAATCAAAAATCACTGAAAAAGCTCAATGTCAAAATTTGAAAAATTTCAATTTTTCGAAACTCGGCTAGGAATTTGAGTTTCCCGGCCAAAAATACCCCCTATACAACCAAGATTCACCACGATAGGTCGAGCAGCCTGAGATAGCATTTTAGGCCACATCCGCCATCTTGGATTTTCAAATTTTCAAAATTTGACCAGAAATTCGAGTTTCCCGTCCAAAATTCCTAATAGCACAGTTACACAATGGAATGTTTTTAAAATGTTTCAAATTACGTCAATCTCGGATCAGTCATTGACATATGTTTCCAACAAATTTTCAAAACGAATACATGAAATGGGCAAGTTGGCCGTGTCTTTGAAACGTATTGAAAACAAATCGAAAATGTTTCTAATTGCGGTCATTCAAACTCTTTTAAAAATAAGTTGGAAACGTTTCAAACTTATTTCAAAAAGGCATAAATAACCCAACCGAAAAATGTGTGAGAATTGTGTCAGCTATGTGTTGTCAATATATTGCAGTCCCTTCAATAAACTATATCAGAAAGATTTCAAAAACATTTCAAAACCATTGCCACAGCTAAGCCTATGATTGAAACATATTTACGGAACATTTCTGCCACAATTTAGGTATATGAAAATCAATGAACCTTTATTGACATCTATCGGAAAAAATGTGTAATTGTGTCAATTTCTTTTTTAACGACCCAGGCACAGATTCATATTAGATTTGCGTACGATATGTTGGGAAAGGAGATCAACTAAATATTTTGGAAACATTTCTAAAACATATTTAAAACGTTGCTGCAGAAATTCTTGGAAGTTCGAAGTTTCTGAGAAATAAACCTGACATATTTCTGACACAATTTAGCAACGTTTCCAAGATCCTTCAAAAACATGTTTCAGAAACAACTGGCAGATATTTCGTATTTTTAATCTGATAAGGTACAGCTATATGTTGAATCTATGTATGAAACGTGACGGAATGGTATTTGAAACGCCCTCAGATTTTCGTGTACGGATTTCCCTCATTGCTCTCCAGTTGAAATACTCGTATCACTCTCATTTAATTGATCCGCGGCGATCGTACGTCATAACCATTTATAAAATTAATTTAAACGCATAAGGGTAAGGAAATTTATTTCAGAAATGTGTCAGGAATATATCAGTTAAACAAAACAGTGCCTTGATTGTCATTAAAACCTGGTGAACACAAGTTGAAAACATTTCTCAGACCTTTCTAAAAATTTTCCTAGATCAAACTGAACCCACCAGAGAGCGTTGACGTTTCATTTTCCAATTTTACCAAATTTTGGTTTATTTTTTTGTCTCAAGGTTTACTTTTTGGCTATTTAATTATGCAGAGTTAAAAATAGTTTTAAATTCTTGGTATGCATCGCATTTATCTCCATAAGAGCTTATAAGTTATGGATTATCTAAAATATTGAAACCGTACATCATGCTTTGCGTATACTTTTCTAAAGTGAGGACGTCCTAATCCCTCTGATAGTTTAATACTGATGGAGTGAACCCATAGTTCCATACTCTCCTTAGGCATAGTCTGTAATCAGGCCGCCCAGGCACTTGATTTGATAGCTATAATGCCTCCACGACGTTTGCTAAAACAGATGTCTGAAAATTTTTTTACGGTTAAGAAGTAGTGACATGCGGATGTATTCAACACAGAGTGGGCTCGTGTTTAACACTACATGGACTGTAGTGATTATACCGAAAATGTGTCATAAACATTTAGAAAATCAGAGGAAAATCTGAGTTAAAGGCTCATTGTTTTACAAATGTGTCAGAAATGTGTCAAAAATGCACTGCCAACGGAGACCTTTGCCCATTGTGTCATTGAAATATGTAAAAAATGAATTCGAAACATTTCGGTGACACAATCTGCAAATGTTTCACAGACACATAAAATGTGGTGACATGGGAATGTGTTGAACACAGAGTGGCTTCGTGTTTGACACTTCATTCGGGTTTTTAAAGTATCACGTGAAACATTTCAGAAATGAGGCTTGGTGTCATTGAAACGTTTTAAAGACATCTCTAAGACTAGTTGTGCTATTACGGTACCTCCTGGTACCAAAAATAAGCAAGATCGATCAAACAAGAGCCGGGATAGCATTTTAGGCCACATCCGCCATCTTGGATTTTTGGATTTTCAAAATTTGACCAGAAATTCAAGTTTCCCGTCGAAAAATACCTCCGAATACCAAAAATCAGCAAGATCCATCGAACAGGAGCCGAGATAGCATTTTAGGCCACATCCGCCATCTTGGATTTCTGAATTTTCAAAATTTGACCAGAAATTCGAGTTTCCCGTCGAAAAATACCCCCGGATACCGAAAATCAGCAAGATCCATCGAACAGGAGCCGAGATAGCATTTTAGGCCACATCCGCCATCTTGGATTTCTGAATTTTCAAAATTTGACCAGAAATTCGAGTTTCCCGTCGAAAAATACCCCCCGGTACCAAAAATCAGCAAGATCGGTCGAACAGGAGCCGAGAATGCCGAGAAAACATTATGCCGTCCTGTCTATAGTTCCGAATTGCAAAATGGGAAATCCGAGTTTCGCATTACGCAATAGGGAACCATAGTATAGGTCCCAATTGCAAAATGAACTTCGCGTGATCCTGCGACGGCAAATTTTTGCGGGGTCGCTGAAGCGGGATAAAAATTGTTTTTGAGGATTTTCTTTTTCTCAATAGTAAGTAAATACCCTCCTGATACGGAATTCATCATAAAAAAAAAATCGAAAATTTGACCCTAGTTCCTTATTGCATAAAGCTGTCCATTTATCTTACACTGAACTATTTGCGGTTCGGCTCAGCATGGGAGGCATGGGGATGGGAGTGGAGTGCATTAGTTTCGTCAATTTCATAAAACGTGTTTCGTACGATTATTCGAGGGAGCCAGTCGCCATATTAGGGGAGCCGAAGAGTTTCTCTTCTTTTTTGGGGCCCCCCATACCTCTCCAGCGGCAACATTTCAATCCATAGAGGCAACCTCCAAAATACTGAAAAATTGAGTTTTTCCCCGGTAGACGGTTTAGCCCCTAAAATACGATTGGTTTTGCTGTAGAAATTCTTTTTCCAGGGGGCTCAATTCGCCGATCCTTTCAGAAAATTATCCTTTTTTCTGCCAATGGGCATTGCAGATACCTACTGATTTCTTATAAATCGATTAAAGCGCCCGCAAATTTACAAAACGCAATTTTTCTTGCACTGGATTATTTGCAGTTTGACATAGGAGTGTCAGCCTGTCAGCTTCGTCAGTTTTATGAAACTTTGTCGTGTATAATTATTCGAGGGTGTCAATAGCTAGATTTGCAGTCTTGTAACTTTTCAGGTTTTAAGAAGTGTAAAGTTTTTTTTGCTTCTACCTTTTTTTCCCTCCTTTTTTTGGAACCGTCAAACATAAATCTGCCGATGGCAACATTTTCTTCCGATTATATTATGTATTCTGGTTAGGAAAAATTATCGGGGAAATTATTCGAACAGAAATATTCCGAATACACATTTGTCTCTTTTTACTTGTAAGCCCAGACTTCACTTTTTAGACTGGGGCACTTTTTAGACTGGGGCACGTCATCCCTAGTTGAACGGGAAACGGTACATTTAGCATCAGCAACCAAATCCATCTGATAACGTTACACCCGTCTTTAACTTTTTTTTTCCTTCCTTGGTCGTCAACTTTTTAGGGGGAGATTTTTAGTATTTGGGGTTGCTACCGCCACCTAGAATGTTGCCTTTGTATTTTGACTTGTTACACGCTTTTGTCATTTTTACGACTACTTACCCCTAAAGATCCCAATAAGCCGGGTTTTAAATTCTTGCATTGCTCAAATCTGTCATTGATCAAACTACTTGGCAACATCGCGATTTGAAAAGTATCTTTTGTTTCTATTATAGGATGGTTATGATTCCAATCTAGAGCCTCTGGAATTTATAGTAAGAGAGGATTTTTCTGTTTTCAGATTCAAAAGAGCCATCTAAAAATCCCCCGTGGGAACAGTTGATTGGAAATGGCCTGGAGAGGAGCTGCTACCAACGGTGTCATGCATAGAGATCTGAGAGTTCCTGGACGGATTGGATCAGCCCGCTCCAGACCAGCACGTGGGCGTGGAAGCAGAGGAGGTTCCCGTGGTCGCCCTGTCAAAACCGTCCAGATCATCCGCAAGGTCCAATATCTTCTGTCCTTTATATGTACTTTCTTCCAAATTCCTTTTCAGTTTCTAAAAATCCGATTTTACTCGCAGATTTGGCAACCTACATTAAAAGAAAGGATAAATGCAGACGAACTGATTCGATGGTTGGAGGATTATCCTGCCGTGAGCCTTCAGACGTTGTCTTATTTCCTTCGTTGAAAAACGTATTTATCGGGAAAATTGTGACTATTTTTCAGAGAATTTTTTTTTGCAATTTACTTTAAAATGTCTGAAAATTTCAAGGACAAATTTGCATGATATTCCTCGAAAATAAGTTTTATCCGAGGAAATTTGACGACTCTTGAATTCTCATACGGCGTTTGTCCTTTGAACAGCAGTATTGGTCGTTTTGACTCGCGATAAATCGCATCGATTAGCTTCGTACGTTTTCGGTCAATCGTCATTCTTATTAAATTTTGACATCGCATTTCTGTCGTCACGAGTCTAATGTATAGAGAAAAAAAAGGAGGTGTTTGCATTTCGGGCATCTTGGAATTTTTTGATGACTTGGTGACGTAGGTGGGTACAGCGCGGTACAGCGACGTCCCCTTCACGTTGTACCCACCTACGTCATCAAGTCATCAGAAAATTCCAAGATGCCCGAAATGCAAACACCTCCTTTTTTTTCTCTATGAGTCTAATGAATGTACTTGCCAATGGAGGTGCAGTGATGATAGCCGTTTTTGGACCCCCTCTATTACCTGGCAATTACCTATGAAGCACAAGTTGCATCTATGCAATTTACAAAAATACCATGATTTGGGCAATACGACTCTTGCTAGGTACCTACTGAAGGTTGCCTAAGCATAGGCTTGAAGGCGTGTTTTAGCCAAAATCGCGTGTTCATCATCATACCACGACATTTTGTACACCAAGCGCGTTTTTTAACTAATACGAACTTCAGAAATGTTATGAAGGAGGCTTTAAAACATTTTTCAATACAGTTCCGTTTAATTTAGACGATGCGCTCGTAGATTAAAACAGCTTTACTCGAAAATGGATTAATTCGAGGCATGTTAAAAATTAACTCGAACCGTGGCATACGGCCATTCCGTGCGAAACCACGTGTCTCCGTTTGCGACGTTGTGGACGCCCTGTTATTCTCTATTATTTTTTCTTTTTCAAAACTGGTCAACATAATTTCTTGAAACCTTCCTTGAATATACTTATCTGTTGGCAGAACATTTTATGTAAACAAGTTATGACGGTAGCTTGTTTCTCTCCAGGAAATTAAAGTATGACAAAAATTGAAACATCTCGATGGAAATACGTGGTTTCGCACTTCGGCCATCGATATTTTTCAGTACATATTATGTTAGTTATAAGACATTTCAACAACAATTTTTTGTCCGTGCGTCTGTTTTTTCTAGTAGTTTGTGTCCGCGCATTTTTCCGGCAGAGGAGTTTTGGTCCACCTACTAATTGTGAACCAAAGTTAATTGGTCCACTAGTAAATATTCACATCACTCACATCGAACAAAAGCCCGCTTTTATTTAGCTATGTCATTCTTGTTTCAAAATAAAAACTTCTTAATGGCATACTCAAGAATGTTTCTGCCTAAATTGAGTCACTTTTTTCTCTAATGAAATTCAAAAATTATGCTAAACGTTATTAAATACGGATACTAGAACTTGGTGAGTTTTTGGACTCTCTTCTTGTACCGTAATATCTTATTTTATTTTGCAAAAATCATAAAGGATGCCTGTCATTCTTGATACGTTGGAGCGCCTTCAATTTCGTATGATACTGTGCAACACTTCTGTTGTGAAATAGTTGCTTGAGGCGCCGCACATTGGTTCCAGAGCCCGATCTAGGCGGCATTAATTAGAATATCACCCTTACCAGCGTGCAACATATGCTTATATGTGTTTTTTGGGTCGCTGATCACGAATTTAAAGTCGATTTGACCCTATCGTTAACCATTAATGGTTAATATGCGTAAAATAGCAAATTCGCACTCAACACGGGATTAATAATTTGACAACGTGGCTCTGTGCTTGAACTATGATAATCTTGACAAATATAATGATTATGGTCATCAAGAGCGATCTACCATTTTACTAATATTTAGACCCTGATGGTTATTTTTGTTGAAGAGGGGGAGGGGGTGTTGTTACATTGAATAACTTCACGAAGCATCCAGTCAGCACGATCTGTTTTTGGAATCTACTTCTGGTTGCAGTTTCAGAAATGGCAGTATAAAAATTCAATAAAAGGGTGTCGCCCCTATCAAACCATTTCGACCAGTGAGCAGGAAAAAATTCACGAAACTGCAATGCCTGTTGATTTTTAAATTCCAGAGCAACCTTAAATTTAAAATGTTGTAATATATTTTTTTCGCCTCAAATGGCAAAAGATATTTATCTCTATACCATGCTTAGGATTACTTATAGTACTAACTAGAAATGGCCACTTGAGACCCGGCAAAGTACCTAGTTGTTTTGGGCCGTTTTGGTAGTAGTAGATCATTTTTAACGTGAAAAATGTTGATCTCCTCAGAGTTTAGCACGACCATGAAAATGATATTTTTGGGTAATTCTTTGGAAAACCGATTAAATAAACTTCCCTTTGGCTGAATATCATAAGGGAAATAGTTTTTTGACATTGCCTGAGAGGTCGAACGATATCACCCACCCGTCACGCGAGCCACATCCAATACTCATGAGGGCTGAGCAGGCGACTTTAAAAGGCTGTATTTCACGAATAGGCAAAGACTGGCAAAAGATATTTATATCTACATCATGCCTAGGATTAGTACTAACTAGAAATGGCCGCTTGAGACCCGGCAAAGGCCGGCAAAGTAGTTGTTTTTGGCCGTTTTGGTAGTATTAGATCATTTTTAACACGAAAAATTTCGATCTCCTCAGAGTTTTGCACGCCCGTGGAAGTGATATTTTTGTGTAATTCTTTGGAAAACCGATTGAATAAACTTCCTCCTGAATGAATATCATGGAAAGAAGTAGTATTTTGACATTGCCTGAGTGGTCGAACGATATCGCCCACCCGTAACGTCCCACATACAGTGCTCATGAGGGCTGAGCAGGCGACTTTAAAAGGCTGTATTTCACAAATAGGCAAAGACTGGCAAAAGATATTTATATCTACATCATGCCTAGGATTAGTACTAACTAGAAATGGCCGCTTGAGACCCAGCAAAGTAGTTGTTTTTGGCCGTTTTGGTAGTATTAGATCATTTTTAACACGAAAAATTTTGATCTCCTCAGAGTTTAGCACGACCATGAAAATGATATTTTTGGGTAATTCTTTGGAAAACCGATTAAATAAACTTCCCTTTGGCTGAATATCATGGAAAGAAGTAGTATTTTGACATTGCCTGAGTGGTCGAACGATATCGCCCACCCGTAACGTCCCACATACAGTGCTCATGAGGGCTGAGCGGGCGACCTTTAAAAGGCTGTATTTCACAAATAGGCAAAAACTGGCAAAAGATATTTATATCTACATCATGCCTAGGATTAGTACTAACTAGAAATGGCCGCTTGAGACCCGGCAAAGGCAGGCAAAGTAGTTGTTTTTGGCCATTTATATGGAAAATTACGCGAAATTAACGTAAAATAGCGCTATGTCTAATGGTTTATCTAGAGCCATAGACTTAATCTAAAGTTATGATTTAAACATCGTAAACCTTCAAATTCACTTGAATATTAGGCTTCTACCTTCAAAACCTTGTTTCTTTGCCCAAAATGGCGACAAACCTCTATTAGGAACATCACTCGAATGAGATAAATGAGGAAATGGATACAGCCGCTGAGAGAACGGCCTGCGCGCTCACCTTTAGGAGCTTATCATTTCCTTATCACTCATCCAATCATCATGATATTTGGCCGAAATACCCTCCAGAGTATGTAGTATCGACCAGTTGTACTATTTTTCAATTTTTCCAAAAGTCATTTTTTCGAATTAATGCCGCCTAGATCGGGCTCTGGAACCAATGTGCGCCGTGGTACACTGCGGCACGGCGCGGCGGCGCGGGCGGCCAACGCCTACAAACCTAAGTGGATACTTCAAGCATTGCGTAATGCGTGAAGTATCCCCTTAGGTTTGTAGGGGCCTGTGCGCATTACGCGCTGGCAGCACGCACGCCGCGCCGCGCCGCTTCTGTTTGGTTCTAATATTTAAACTCGCGGAGTCAGCATTTTTTAGCTCATGATTTTGAAATGTTTGCACACCATGCATGGATTATTCTCATTTAATTTGATGGGGAAAAAACATGTAATAAAGGAAAGCATAATGTGTTTTGTAACTATTATGGTGGTTCCGTGTCAAATTTAATGATTCCCAAAGCACTTAAATATTTTCTTTTATATTTTGTGCTGTTACTGTGCTGCAACATGGTGTATGCGCAACCAAATGCTCAAAATTGGACAAACTTGACTCTAAAAGATCGATGTACGAATGGGTTAAAACCAAACATTGCGTGTTCTTTGGTTATTTTCCTCTTTTATTCATTTTTGTATAGATCTTTCAACAAAACTACGGCTCATTGGGGTTGATATCAATGCTATCGCCTTGAAAAGGTTTTACAAATATTTGCCAAGTTTTAAAAAATGTTCATTGAATGAAGTACTATTTTCATTCAAAAAAGGAAAAAAAGGGGGAAAAGGGTATGTATAAGGTTTATTTTGTGTTGAGAATTTTTAGGATAGAAATAAAACCAAATATTCACCAATGACAATTTGAAAAGATAAATCAAAAGAAGAAAGTAACATTTCATTTAAACAATGAATTACCGTAAAAACACCTCAATCCCTCTCAATTTGCTCATTTCGATATTGGCAATATAATTTTACATTCGAACTAAAATATATCACTTGGACCACATCACTGTTGCTTATTTTACAAGTGAACGTGAACTACTAGACAAAACAGGTGCGCAGACAAAAAATCGCTAACGGAATGTCCTGAAACCATTATGTTCCGTATCGATATGAGTGATTTCTATGACAGAATAAGGAGAACGGGGGGTTTTCCAATCCGTGCAACTAAACAATTTTTTTTTCATTTTTAAAAAGTTAAACTTTAACAGTCAAGACTACTTGGGAAGCGGAGATATCGAAACGCCGCAAACGAAAACCGCGGTTTTTTTTTCAGTGTCAGGTGTCACTATCGATACGTTTTAATAGCAGCGGGCATTAATTTGATTTTGGAACTATTCCACCAGGTGGAGTACAGTTCGAGCCTGCGGGAAGAAGAGCCGCCGATAGACGAGAGGAGCTCCCCGGACGAGCCGAAGAAGAAGTGCATTCTGCTCATAGTCAAGAAGAACAAGGACGACGCCCTGCCGAAGCGACCGCGGATGACGGTGGAGCCCACTCTGCAGCCTCTCCTGCCTGCTCCAGCGCCGAGCCCACCCTCGACCCAACGCAGAGGCCGCTACGTTAAGGTCCGGAAGGAGGCGCTTCAAGCCCTCCCCGAACTCCGCGAACTCATCCAGTTCCACCGCAGCAAGCACGCTGAACTTTACCAGGAGAACCAACTCTACGACCAGAAATTAGCCCTCTTGGGAGAGGGCTCCTCCATACAGCCGATGGTGACGGCGACGCCCTCGAAGCAATTCCGGCCTCCACCCCCGCCGACGCCTCTGCCACTGCCCTCGCCGCCGACCTTACCCAAGGGCCCGGGCTATCTCCTCGCTCTGCGCCAGGAGGCTGAGTGGAACACCCCTCCATCCAACCACCGCGCTCCACCGTTCCGTCACCCTCTTCCGCCCACCCCTTCCAGGGCCGTCCAGAGGGAGCATTTCTCCGCAAGGAAATTGGAGGGATTCATCTACGAGGGGGCGCCTCCGGAATTCCCCCGGCTCCCGGCCTTCGAGGTCCACTCACCCTCCGTGCTCGACTATGAGTCGGTGACGGTTCTGGACGGAGACTACTCCGAAGCACCGCCGGAAGATAGCGTTGGTGATAGTCGGGCGAAAAAGGTTCTCGAGGAGTTCGACTTCCTCGTCTCTCCTGAGCCGCAAGAGTCTGATGAGACTGGCTATGAGCCCAACTGCTCGGAGCTGGACTTTGCGAGTCTGGAAATCGTGCGTGGGGTTGGAGAGGACATTTCTCCCGAGCCGCAAGACCCATTTCTAGAGATTTTCCAGATTTTTAAGCGCCAGGCCTGTGACCCCTTCCAACAGCCCACGACTTTTAACTCGGGCTCAGATGCTCGTGGCAGCAGGGTAGGCTCCTATCTTTTTTGATCTGGTCCTTCCTAGAGTACGTTCTCTCTATTAACAGCTAAGGTGATCTCAAATCTTCATTTCATTTTCACCACGACAAGTATTATTCCTTCTTTCTCTCTGCCTCCCGCCCACCTTCTTATTAATGCTTTATCTCCTTGCCAAATAAAAATACAGGTGTAAGACTGTAGGGGGGTTAGGGTAAGTATAAGAACAATTAGTCACCAAATAATATAAAATTATCAAATTGCTTCGAAAACTGTTGCTCCTTGGGTCTACCTACATTTCTTCCAAAACCTGTGCTAAAAATCTCTTTAGAAAATTTAAGAGCTTGAATTGAATTTTTGGACGCTGCAAATCGGATTTTATTGATAAATGACTGAGATATCTACTGCAATTAGCTGAAAATAGCCAGTGTTTTCTCTGGCTCACAAAGTTTATTGAAATTTATTAAAAATTATGTGAAGAGTGTCTTGTTGAATATTTTCTTTTTAAATCTTTATTTTCTGGTTCCATGATACTGAACGAAAATGTATTACTATTACCATATCCTAGAAATATTATTTTGGACTGTAGTTATTATCTCTTAATTATATTTTATTGACTGATTAAGATTTAGGTAATTTACAATTTTCTTCTTTTCTACGAAGTGTTCACTGTTCAATGTTAATGTGATTAAGGGTTACTATGAATTAAATAAATTGTAATTATTGAACAGACATAAAAATTTTGAATTCATTTTAAGACTTTAATTTGTCTTATTTTAAAGGATCGAAAGTATTAATTTTTTTTCTCTGCAGCCATTAAGCATCACCCATTTCAAACAAAACCTGTGAGGAGGGAAAATTTTTGATCAGCTTAAACTAAAATAATTCCATAATGAAGAATTTTTTGCATAAAAGATGAACACATAAGTGAATAAAATTAAAATTAACTAACTGTCTACACTGAAATAAAAGATATCTTATGAAAATGATTGAACCAAATTTCTTTGTGAAGGCACGAGTCTAGAGGAAAATTATCCACTCAAATATGTCATAATTTAGTGTAAGGCTACTAATATGAACTTAATGTGCTAGGTCTTAGCCCCACAAATATGAAAAACAATTTCCTGAGATTTATTTCCTTCTCTAAAAGGTTAACTAGTTTCCCACACAGCAGTAAAATCATATTGCCTACACCCAAATTAATTGTGTCTTGTGGATGTGACTTTTCAAATAATGCGAACGAAGATAAAAAAGAAGAATATAATTAAGTACGATAGAAAAATATATTTCAAAAACTTTGGATTTACAATATTATAAGTAAGTTATCACACATGTACACTGTACATTCTACACTAAAATTAATTATGACTCCTTGAATTCCGATTTTCGATTATATAGGATTGTTGATTCCACAATTACGATATTTTGTGAAAGGAAATTGGAGGGAAGGGAAAGCAAATGATTGTCATAGTTAACTAAGGTCTAGTTACATATTAGCTTGACAAAAAGATTGATTTCGATGCCTAATACCGCCTGTCTTGACTAAAATGTTTTCGCGAGCAGGAAGTTTGCATTTACTGTTTATAATGTAACCTATAAACGTTTATTTCTCACTATTGAGCAAAGGAAGGGTATCGACAAAGGCCGTTCTTGGGCCCATCCTGGATTTTCTTAACTCTACGATTTTTTGCTCATTGAAAGTCCATATTTTATGGAGCCCATCGTGATATGGTCATTTTCAGTCTCTTTTCTAGTTTACATCTTACTTAACATGGGTCTAAGGCCGAGTTAGACGAAAAATGCGAATTTCAAAGGTCTATAATTGAATGCCGAAAAATCCATATTTTTTGCGGAAATCGGTCTTCAGACCTATGATTAGGTGAATTTTAGACATGAAAAGAGACCAGAAATGACCAAAACATGATGCTAACAGTAAAATATAGACCTTCAATGAGCAAAAAATCGTAGAGTAAAGGAAATTCAACAACTGTGGGCCCAGAAACAGCCCTCATCAAAATCCCTCCTTTTGAAAGTTTACAATACATGCAACAAGTTTTGCATGAAAGTCAGATGAGAAAACAAGTTTATTGTTCCTAATTTCTTGCCCTATCCAATGGTCCATTTTTATTAAACATTACTTTCATCAAAAGTATTCTACCAATTTTTCTTCAAAAAAAAGGGGGGGAGGGGTAAGTATAAGGTTTTTAGCCTTACTAATTCCACTGAGTTACCTTCGGGGTTTGTATTATTTTGATTGAGTCAGCGCAAAAGAGCGAACTGTTGAGATATTGTATTTATTGCTCATAGATCAGTATCCTTCCATTCTCAATAACCACATATACAGAGTGATTCAAAAGTCCCACGCCACTCAGCATCATACCTGTAACTTTTGAACAAAATATGGAGACTTGAAATTTTGTGAGTGCTCCTAGGTTAAAGGAAACGACAGTTTGAGACCCCCTATAATTTTAGGGAAAGGGTAAGAACCAAAAGGGTCATGTAGGGATGGTGCAGAATTTTTGTATCACTCTCTACGGTTAAAATCAAGAACAGATTTGCGAGCGAGAAAATTTTAATGAAGGATCCCTCCACAGCAGTACTCATGAGGATTCTCATGCACCAATAAACAGCAACACAAAACTTGTGTTAAACACTAAAATATCTGTACAAAAACTATGGTACAATAATATACATTACACAACATAAATTACAAAATTCTTTAACTTAAACAACTACAGTGCAAAATATTTGATTTTCATTCAAACATCTAGTTTGAGAGTCTATAAAAATTACAAAATACTAACTTAAATTTCTTGCAAAGAGTGGATACTATAGGTAGGCGAAGAACTCATGTTTACCCATCGTACCGGTATCAAGGATGACAGTTTTTTTCAAAAGGGAACATAGCAGTGTGAGGATACACAAATAAAATTTATAACATCCTAACATATTTTTTGGCAAATTGCACTGGACTGACAGTTTCATAATTTTGTGCTTTGAATTGAAAGGGATAGATAAAATCACATATTTTGATACTCCATCCACTGAAAACTGGCAATTCAATATCCTGCATTAATTTAATACTGAAAAATGCTGTTTAAATGAAAGGAGAGGGGTGAATATTCTATTTAAGGTTAAAGAAATGTGCGTGATGAACAAGTTCAAAATTTCACCCTTTTAAAAACTACACCATTTTCAGTGAAACTAGAAAAGTTAAGGACTAAGAAACTCTCTGCAGTTTATCATGAAAAGCATTAAAAATAATCTTATACGCTGATCTTCTCTAAAAATGTGAGGCATTTTTCTGTTAACTTGTTGACAAGCTGTCTTACTGTATAACTGATGCAGCATTAATATTCTGGTAAACTAGTAACAGGTTGAATCTGCACAGCACTCGTTATCGGCTGAGCGCTTCACAATGATGATTTAGGAACCAGAAAATGGGTCCTTGGCTATGTTGAATTCAGTGAACTTGTTCTCAGGCCAAGTTTTAAGGACTTAGACTAAAAAGGCAATTTAAAAAAAAAAAAAAAAAAAAAAAAAAAAAAAACGAAGGACAAATCATGTCTAAGAAACGCATGATACATGTTTGGAGGTTTTTCATTCTTGAATAATTCTTTTTGTGACCGGCATACTATTCACAATTTTTTTTAAAAATTCAGTTAAATTGAAAAACACCATCCCAAACTTTTAAACTAACTATGAATTAAATTTAATAAATTGAATTAAAACATAATTGGAAAAGTTGGAAGGAAATGTTTTCAACTCTTCCATCCTTTTATCTGAATTTTAATTTTGATACTTTTAACTGAAACACAGCTGTTCCAGTTTTTTTTAAAGTTTGCGAATGACCTTATTCCTAAACAAAGGAAGAGATATTGTAAAAAAAGGATCCAGTTCTGACGTCAGACTGAGGTCAGAAACAAAAAAACTGCTAAGTGATTTTTGACAACTTTCAGGAGCTTCCTGACATAAGTTCGTCAGTCTGAGATGTGACCTGCCTTCACTCGCAAAAGAATTACACAGTCTATTAGCAGGTCTACCAAAGTGTATCTTACACAAGTAAAGGATAAAATTAATGGTAACAAAAGTAGGATCGTGTGATCAACAAAAGAGGCCAGTATGAAAGGTCACTGAAGGTTCCATTTCTGGTTTCCTTGCTAACAAATCACCCTCTTCGCCTGAGTTGATGAGTGGTAAGGATGAAGTACGCCATTCATGACTAGACTGTATTCATTTGAGCGAAAATCACATGTAACATTTTCAACTGTTTGGTTGCGAGGAATCTCAGCTGAAGTTCTGAAATACAAGAAACAATTTATTTCAATGGCTTTCAGCAGTTGTGAAACACGATACATTCAATGAGTAATGTATGGGATATAATTTTTGCCCAGTTTGAAAGGTAATCAGGAAAGTAAAAATTTTTACGTACCTATTTATTTATTTAGGTACTTACTTAAAAAGTTTAAAATGATAAATTTCCCATATTTCATTAATTTTCCACATTTTTAGTTTCAATTCCGTTACTACAATTTAAAATGAAGTAGCAAGTTGGTTAGGAGGTAAAAAGAATTGAAATCATAAGTCCCAAAGGTACGTTTTGCAGCGTTTGAACTTTGACTAAAATTTTAAAAGGCCGTTCAGGTTGGTAAGTAGAATTTTTCAGGAGGCAATTGCAAATTTCAGAGGCCATTGAGACTTTGGATAATGGAGGATGATAATCTACAAGAAAGCAAGAAGACAACAAGAATTTGAGCTGCACCAATTTTTGAGGCATCGCTTTGGCAAGCAATGTTATTTTTTTACCTCAAAGGGGTTGTATCTTATGCAGGGCGACCAATGAAGTTGAAGCTATGCTTTAAACAAGTAAAAATAATTAGGTTAAAAAAAGAGGCAAAATTAAATTTTTCATACTCGCAGCTTCAGCATGTCAGATTCCTTAATGGGAATCATGATTAGAACGGAACTCTACATTTAGAAACAACTATGTACATTGTGCGTTTTTGAGATTTATTTTGCCTGAAAACATCTGATTGTAAAAGCTCATGAAATTGCAAGGAAACTGTACTCACACAAGAATTATGAGGCAAAATCATAACCAGGTCCAGTTGGCACTTCGAATAAGCGCTTGATGGGCGACCTCTTGGTCGCCTCGTGATACCCATTTTGGTTTGGCTGCGATGGATACTGAAACCGAGACTCCTGTTGGTCGTAGTTTTCAAAAGACTCCGGGCTAGGATTGACCTGATAAGCACCACTGCTGGGTGGGTATCGTGGCTGCACAGGATTGTGGAAAAGTTGAGGGGCTACTGAGTATGGTGACTGCTGAGGGTTAACATTGACATTGACAGGTGGAGGCGGGTGGGAGAACCCAGACGGTTGGACACTGGAGTACGTTGAGGGGGGTAAAGTGGCAGCTTTATTCGGTAGTAAAGGAGGGCCTTGAGTGTGTCCATTGTGTCCCAAAGGAACCTGCACTGGTTTCAGAACCAACAGTCCAGCTTGAACTCCTGGAGGTACTGGAAGATAATATAAGAAAAACGCATTCATGAACTTTTGAATTTGCAAGTTTACACTCAATATACTCTGAAGAAACCAAATCACATTAGCGGATAACAGGAAAAGAGAGGTTTGAAGTTTTCCTTTTTCATTAGACTAAATATTTCGGATTGTGTTTATGATATTGTATGTATCTTTTTCGCAGGCTACACTCCCGAGGCAAGGAAAAGTGCGTTACTAATCAAACTCAAAATAACTTATGACTCGATTTTTATGAATGTGTTTCCGTTTTTGTCTACTTGGCTTATTGATAGCCCAACTGATCCTTGAATAAATAAAATGAAAATTTTAGGACCTGTTTCAATTTTGAACTTGCTAATTAAAATAGTGCAGAACTTTTGTCTGGTTGTCATAAAAATATCAATTTTGATCATCGAGATCTTGATAAATTGAGCATTTATGAGTGAATGGTTGAATTATCTCTGAATATTCTTTTTCTGATTTTACAGAGTAGGAAGCCACACAGTCGCTCCTTACCAAAGACACTTTTTAACATTTTAAGAAAAACCTACCACATCTTACTATATTATGAAATCATAAGCCCTTAAAATTGTGTAGATTTTAAGTACGCTGCCCTGAAGTTATAGTAAGATTGATGAAATTTCACATTGATGTGGTACTTTACGTATTGAGACAGTGTGTCTTGCAACTAGATCGCTATGTTTTTGCGTTTTGCGTTTTTAGCTGAGTTATTGTGAAAAATCTGCAAACCTATTTTTGCCCACTTCAGAACTAATATTGATCCCACATAAAGCTGAAATTGATCCTAATTGCAGAGCGAACAAAATTAATTATTCTGACGCTTCTGTTTAATAAAATGTTGATTCTGGGATGAATTATTAAAGCGCACCATTGAGCTCTCAACATAGCTTTCCATTTCATTGATAAGGCTCGACACACACATGGACACCTCCAAGCAAAATTGTTTAAGAATTCATTCAGAAATAAGTAGGTAGGTGATTTTTTCTTTCTTCAAATTTGCAAAACTGGAGCAGAAATTCAATTGCTTGACTGTACAGGATTAACAAGCACTTCTTTGAGGGTTAATTATGAATGGAAATTGTTACATGCAGAGAAAACATACCTACAATGGTAGGAGTATATCACAATTTTACTTATTCGATTGGCACAAAAAGGAATTAGACCTGTTACAGTCTATTCCTCAGGAAACTAGCGATAGATTTCCATCAAAATCTTGAAATTTGATTTTGGAGTTAACTCAACGAAAATAGCTTTGATGAAAAGTTTGCATCTTTGGCAAAGGTCCCCTTTTTTAAGAACGATCAAAAAAGTTTAAAATTGACTGCTCAGTGGTTGTGTCTTTCTATTGTGACCAATAGTCTATTGTTGGATGGGCTTGCTGGTTATTGTAAAATATCTAGGGGTCAGCATGTTAAATTATGAAAATAGAGATGATTGAACGACGAATAACTTACGTTGACCAGCATGTGGTTGAGGAGCTCCGGCTGGGGCGGGAGCACCTGGTACGTTTGGGGCAGGGTAGCCTGGCTTCGACTGTCTTGACAAACGATGATAGTCAGTATAATAAGAAGAGGGCCCTGATGGATAACTGCTGTGACTGCTGTGATGTGGGGGTCCATACACAGGTGCTGTTGGATATGAGGAATGGTAACTGCCGTAGCCATGGTAACCATATGATGGGGCAGATGGTGCTGAATACCCTGTATGTCCTCCACCTAGACCTGATCGAATCATATCGAATAATTAGGTAAAACCTCAAATAAGGCCTGCTCAAATAATGCCTGCTTCAATGAAATAATTAAATAGTATGACAGTAGAAAATAATCCTAGCAAGGAGGGATTTCTTCTTTAAAGTGTTTAAAGAGACTAACAGATCATGCAAAACAATTCTTGCAAAATTGAAACATCAAATTGAGTCATCAATTTTTAATTTTTCATTTAAATATTAAATTCTTACAAGATAAATCCTTTTAGAAGCCTGTAGGAAAATTTGCACGATTTTTTCTTTTTCTGCCTTCTTTTTGAATTTAAAATACACCTTTCGAACAAAGTTTTTGAAGGTTTTAACTTGAGCCCACTTTGGGAAAACTTCGAAGTACCATTTCTAAAACACATTTATAAAAACTTCCACCTGCTCCAGTCTAGCCTCATAGGTGGTAGTTCTTTCAATGCTAGGCATTAAATAAAAGTCATGACTTGTAAATTTTGTCCATAATTTCCCAAACATGTGTTCATATTATTTTTTGCAAACAAGGCAGCAATAGATCAAGAGGCAAAATCAAAACCATATTCCCATTGTCCATCGAAAATTTGGGTTTTTAGGCTTTTAGGGTTCTTTTTACGAGGTTTTCTAAAATTCATAGAGGATGTTCATTCACGATTAATAGTACCTCTCAGATATAAGTTTGAACTAGAGGCACAATTTAAAATGAAGGGAAGATGTTTTGAAAAAAAAAACCTTGCCACCGTTGCTGTAAGCAGTGCTAAAACAACTCAACACAGTAATGATGATGAACAACAGCTTTATTCTAGTTGAAGTTGCATTTACCAATCCCCACACGACACTCCCTGTCATGACAAATGACTATCAGATCAACTCAAACACACACAAAAATGGTGCCGCACCACACCAGATGCTTCTCATGCACCTAATTTCCCAAACAAAAATACATAGTTAAGTAAACCGACACTGTTGGGTGCACACAATACAAAATTTGAGAAATCAACTGCTCCGCTTTTGATTAAAAATCATGATGAACGTGAAGCTCATTTTATTCGCCTGCAAAGAAGAGATTCTTGGTAAAATTGTTTAGAAGCAAGTCTCCCTTGGCTTACTTAGCTCCGGACAGACGCAATGCACCTCGGGGAAAAAAATTGGAAATCGAAACCCAGGCTCGCGATTTGAAAACTTAAACAAAGCTGGCTCATTTGGATCTTATTGTCTGCTTCAAGCTGAATAATGGCAATCGGCCTGGTAGAGTTTTAGATATAGAGTCCATGCCAAAGAAGTTTACGTACTTCTAGACTCCGGCAGAGGATCATCTGACGTCACTTTTACAGGTAAAGTAATAATGGAAGAATCAAGATGGCGGATCTTACGTCACAGTCTAAAAATGCGTAAACTTATTAGGCATGGCCTCTGACAATCACAGAAAATAAAAATTCAGTGAGTCAAGAGAGCTTGAGGAGACACCTAATAGTTTTCCCTCCTCTTTTCTAAGAATCTCATTAAAATTGATTTAAGGAGACCACCTTTGAGACCTTGAATTCGGGAAAGTTCTGTATGCTGACTGCAGCCGCATTATCTCCATGCCCCTACACCTTCAGCAACACTGCATTTCAAAATTCCTGCCAATCTGGACCATATTCTATGGTCAGTTTTTTCATAAAAGTAGCAAACATGCTTCACCCCATGCGCCACTCCTCCACTCTCCTCGAGAAATAATTAAAATGTGGGATTACCTAAAAGTTTGACAAAGTAACTAAACACAGCTGATTTAGATTGATCTAAGGGTGGAGTACCTTCGTAGTGATAGAATGGCTGGGCTAGCGCTTTGCTTGCGATGTGCCTTCCCAGCTCGGAGATGACATCTCCCTTTGTTGCAAGCACTTTACCTTTCGTTGCAGCGATGTGACCTGTTACCTTGATCAGCTGACCTTTCAATGCTATCACCCCTCCTGTGATAGCCTTCACGGCTTGCAGAAGGGTTCCAAAAATGGCCTTCTTAAAACCCAACAAATTGAATGACTTCTTCTCGGGCTCCTGAAATCATAAGATAACTGAGAAATAAAACCCACAACTGCTTCCAATGATGGATAAGTCGTCGTTCTCCAGATGTAGAGGCGTACCTCAATTTTCACGTGAGCCCTGTCCTCCATAAAACTCTATGCTTTTCTTGGCTCTTGAGGAAATAGATATACGCCCTTACGTCCAAGGAGCGACGAGGCAAAGGAGATGAAAAAGACTAGGATACTATGGAAGCTTTAATTCGTTCTACTGAGGAGACATGCAACATTGCAACAGCGAACAGCTTCATTTTAGGTAGATTTAGGGGGATGGCATAATTGTAAAAATTATTGCGAAAGGATAAAGGGGCGGGTTGACATTAGAAAAGCATTGGATAATCACTTAAAAACTGACCAAAATCAGTAATTTCAACATTCATCACAAAACGCTGACTGGAGGGAAGGTCAAAATAAGCGTTACGTAATTTTATGAGAGGATATAGACTAGTGTTACGGTTACGTTAAGTGGGGAAGGATTGTCAAAAACGGGTTTCAGCGTTACACATGGTGACTGGAATTTTTAACCATGCTCATTCCCTAATGGAAAACCGAAGTTTTCTCCCACTTTCGGGATTTGCTTGTGAAAAACTATCGAATTTTTCATCATTTTTCAAACGATTTTTGGCGCACATCCAACTTTTTAATCTATAAGTGTTTCTGATGTTAATATTTCCTTGTTAATGAAAACTTCTCCATTATTCTGATGATTTGAAGATTCAAATATTTCATTGAAGTGCATAAAGCAGTTCAGGTGCAACAACATGCACTCAAAGCAGGAGAAGAAGAGATTCCCGATTTTTGTAAAATGTTCCCTAACTTTTCCCTAACCTCTTTCATTCTTCGATGAATCCCGATTTTCCCAGTCCTAGACACCATGGCGTTACGTATTTTATGGACGGTCCCTTAGCCCCTCGCCCTTGGGATTCGGGTGAAATGACAGCCTTGTCGGACACATGGAGTACATAGAGTCGTAACATAAATGGGAGGGCTGGCGCCATGTTCTGCTCGACGAGTTCCGAGCCCGGTGCACGGGTGACTTTTTCGATACATATTCGATCCAAAATGACGGCGTGGAATACGTAGTAATTCCATGACCGGGTCCCCTTGTATCGGAAACAATCGATTATGAATTGAAAAAGTGACCCGGCGCCGCACAAAGTCTCGGAATTCGGGACCAGGAAACTGCTTGAAAGTGGCGCCAGCTCCCCTACTCATGGGCGTAGCTAGGGGGGTCCTGGGGGGGGG